GGTGGTGGGTGGAGGGGAGGCCTTGCTTTATCTGCACGAGCCACAGGGGCCATTTATCTTGGTAACCAGAACACACCATTCCTCCTCCTTCAACATACCTGGCTCCCTCACTTTTACTTTGTGTTCCCTCCCTGATCCTCCTCTGGATCCCCAGCTGGTGGGCAGGACCTCCTGCTCCTTCAGCCGCATGGATCAATGCAGTACAGGATGGCTGGCCGCCGTTAGCATCTGCTAACAGCATGATTCAGCACCATGGGGCAGTTCAGCTGGTTTTGCCTACATCACCCACAATGCTTAGGGTGCATCCTGCTTATGCTAAGCTGTGGCCTGATGCATAATGGGACCGCGCTGAGAGACAATAACGTGGGGGAGGTGCGCTCCTGAGCCGCTGATCCCAGGTCAGCTTGGTCATGGTACCTCTGATGTCCCTGTAGGATAAGTGAGTAGAGACGCCATGTCCCGCGTGGTGAAGAAGAGGCAGGCCGACCCCAGGGTGGTCCAGCACATCTGGGCTGCCATCGAGGTCATACGCAACCAGAAGCAGATCGCCAACATGGATCGGATATCTAAGTAAGTCCAACTTCTGGGGTCTCTGAAGACAGAGACGCAGAGTACCTTGGGGGGGGCAGGGCCTGAGAACATCTCGGGGGCTAATAACACCAGCGATAATGGCCCATTTCCTGGTAGGGTCACTGAAACACACCCAGCCCACACATGGATGATGTAGGAGCATCCTTTAAACGAACATTACCTACTAACAGGTACACCCACACGCTGTGCACCACTGCAGGTACCTGAGCCGCGTGTTCGGGGTGCACCCCAAGGAAACGGCACGGCAGCTGGGTCTGGCAGTGAAAGACGGCCTGGTGGTGGAGACCCTCACCGTGGGCTGCAAGGGCTCCAAGGCCGGCATCGAGCAGGAGGGCTACTGGCTGCCTGCTGAGGACACGGTACGAGCTGCTGAGGATGCGGTACAAGCCGGCAGGATGCGTTACATGTAGGGATGGGGTATGAGGTGTGAAGAGGGTACGAGTCAGCAGGGATGTGGTACAAGATGCTAAGGACATGGTGGGAGCTGGTGGGATGCGGTAGGATCTGGTGGGATGCGGTAGGATCTGGTGGGATGTGGTAGGAGCCAGCCAAGTGGGTTTGAAATGGCAGTAGAGCGGTGAGGATTTTTTCTGGACGTCTGTCCTTGTTCTTCCTAGGGTATAGACCCTGTCACCAGGGGGTTGGGTGTGGCTTGTTGGGGTCACATGATTGATCAGACCAGTGCTGTTGGAGATGCAGAAAGGAGGGGTGATGCTGGGCCTGAACACGCTGAAGATGAAGGGGGGGCTCGGCGTGTGCAGTCCCGACTGTGGGGTATCGGGGCTCACCATATGAGAGTCCCCACCCCTGTTGTCCTGCAGGACTGGGAGCCAGAGAGCCATGACGGCTACTGCTTTGAGTGCCACCTGCCGGGGGACGTGCTGGAGTGTGAGAGCTGCTACCGCGTCTTCCACCTGCGCTGCCTGGCTGAGGACAGCCGGCCCCGGGACGGGGCGCCGCACTGGCAGTGCGCGGCGTGCAAGGTGGGGCTCCTCTGTCCGTCTGCCTGCCTGTCTGTCTCTCTCTACAGCTAACTGCAGACGTTTTCTGTGTATGTCCGGCAAAGTCTCAGAAGTCTGAAAGGGTTCCCCTTCCCTCCAGGGATGTTGTTCACGTTACAGTGCGGCTCCATTCATTTTGCCTCATGTGCAGAAATAATAAGCAAGCATGTGATATTAGCAATTAGCTGAGTGTTTGTGTCCCAGGATGAAAAACAGGCTCTATTTCGGGGTCTGTGTGTTTTTCCTTTTCCCGACTATTGCGTTTTCTGCCTCCATGCCATGCCCTCTATAGATCGGTTTGTCCTGGCTGTACCTTTTCTTTCCCTGCTGCCTGTGTCCTTTCCATCTGAATGGGATTTGAGCTCCTTTGCCCTGGAGATTTCTTAGCCAATCGCATCCCTGGTTTTTGAGACGTGTAGGTAGTGCTAAAGCCAATACACAGAGAGCATTACTATTCAGCTGTCTGTCATTATAATGACTGTTACATGGGTCTGCCTGGTAACAGGCTGGCCTGTCACTTCCTGTAATAAATGTCTCCGCTGCTGGCACATAACAATCTAGAAGCTGTGCTTTATCCTCTGCGAGAGCCAGTGTTCAAAAACCTTCTTTGACTTAATTGTCTTGGGGGTGGGGGGTGTTTTGGGCTATCAGTCACACTAAATGTTAACTCTGTCCTTCCGGCAGGGGAGCAAAAAGAAGAACGTGAGCAAACAGGATTTGAGCAGGTACCTGCGGTTCATCGTGCAGCGGATGAAGGAGCGGGTACGCAGACATCCTTAGCATGTGGCTAACCCTGCGGCTAACCCAAGTGGGTAACACTACGGCTGACCCCCTGGGTAACACTATAGCTAACCCTGGGGCTAACTCCAAGGGTAGCACTACAGCTAATACTAAGGCTAACCCTGTGGATAGCAGGACTAACTCTGCAGATAACACTGCGGTTAAATCTGTGACTAGCCCTGGGGGTAATGCTACAGTTAGCATTGAAGGAAACTGCATGGGTAACACTATGGCTAACCCTGGGGCTAACCCCATGGGTAACACTATGGCTAACCCCATGGGTAACACTATGGCTAATGCTAAGGCTAACCATGCAGGTGACACTATGGTTAACTCTGTGACTAATCCTGGGGGTAGAGGTCAACCGATATGGGTTTTTCAATAGCTGATGACGATATTTAGGAGTCAGGGTCAGCCGATGGCCGATATATGCTGCTGATATTTTTTGGCCGAAAATTTTTTTCCCTCTATTTGCATGATAAAATATCACACAAATAATAACAAATGATACACAAAATTTCTCAACTTAGCATTTATTGAAAACTGACTTGTGTAAATTTAAATATAAACTTAAATAACAAAAACACAATACAACCTATAAACAACTTAAACTTATAAACAATAAAGATAGCAGCATCAGAATCTCTTTAGCAGCAAACTCATTCTTCAGCTCCCAAGCTCACCAGTCTGCTGCAGATATTGCACCTGGCTTTTCCTGGTGTTGGCTTGGTGAAATGCTGCCATACAAGATTAGATTTTTGTTCAGCCATCAGACAGCAATTACTAAAACAGAAGAAAAAATGCAAGGTTAGCATTTTTATTACAGTACCTTCATCTTCAATTCATTCTACAATTGCAGTATTCCATGCACATTAAAACAATTACATTCTAAAACATTTTGAAGAAAAAAACAACATTATTAACTAAGTGCATCATGGTATGATGAGTAGTGTACAAGGTTCAAAGCCTTTCACTAACATGTTGTTTATGTTGTTAGCAGACAGATAGCTTACAAGCCAAACTCACAATCAGAATCTAGCGATCCCGGAAAATAAAATAAAATAACTTTGTCGTATTGCACAGCCTTGTATGCAAGGTCAACATAAGCCCCTAGTGATTGTGACGCTGTTGACGTATAA